TTCCTCAGGAAAAAATAGCGAATCCTTGCAAGATCCTGACTACATCTGTCAAGGATCTGGCGCTGAAACATCAAAGATTTTCCCTAGGGACTTATTCGTATCCTTCGAAGCATAGAAATGAATAATAAATAGCACCTATGGATACCCAGTTCGATCAAAACGGAACTCCGTTACGGCCCGTTTACTGGAATCAGTTTTACGGACCGTATCTCTATTGTAAAATAGCCGTATGTAGTCTTATTTTCACCGTAAACGATTTGGTATTACTGTGTTCAGTAAAGACACCTAATACGAACCGTACATTGTGAAAATACGGCTACTTACGGCTTTTTTACAATAGAGATATGGCCGTAAAACTGATTCCAGTAAACGCACCGTGTCGTTCGACCTGGGTATATATAGTAGGTGATAAAAGATGAATTCATGCCAAAGATTCTTTACCTTGCTCAACCTATCATAGTTAATCTCATTTATCAGGAACGGTTACAGTTAAATGAGCTTCTCTTAATATTTATCTTGGACTCAACTACAACAAATCGTCGAATGGCTCTCCTTATTAACTTTTCCGGAAATGCAGATGTATGATTTTTTCCATCGGTCTACTAACAATATCAATACTAATAATGCTAATATCGATATCAAAAGTACTAAATTGTATTGGCATTGGTAGTATTCGAATTCTCACATCCCTACTTAGTCTATCAGAAGGATCATTACAATGGGGAGAGCCATTCGACGGTTTCCTGTAGCTGAGTCCAAGAGAAATAGTCATAAAAGCTCATTTAATTGTATACTTTCCTGATAAATAAGATTATCTATGATAGATTGAGGAAAAGACCATAAACCTTAGCCGGGGATGGCGTAGTGGCTCTATGCATCTGAATTCAGAGATCAGAAGGTTCGATTCCTTCCCCCAGCACGGTGGTGGCATCATTAGTATAATGGTGTACGGTATCGGTAGAGAAGGTGACCAATCACTTTAATATATATGCCGATCTTAATGATCTTTACCCTCTCTTTGTGTGATTCTTATATGTTCTCTTCTCTTCCTCTGTTTGTTATCATCATCCTATACTTTGACTCTTCACTACTATTTTATCTTCTATACACAATTGTACTGGCAGGACCACTAGGTCGCAGTTTCTCGCGTAATAAAAAAAAAGACCATAAACCTTTGAAATAAAATCATTTATTATTATCGATTTATACGTACTATTTGTTATTCATTTCTTTGCTTCGAAGGATACGAATAAGTAGGCCCTCGAATTCCAGTACCGAATCTGGGCACGATGAAACCCGGGTAGTTCTGGTACGGTGCATGCCTAGGTGTGGGTGCGCTTTTTCTCGGAAATCACGTCCTAGACCCAACACCCACACCCACACCCACACCCACACCCACACCCACACCCTTGTTCAAGAATCTCAAGAAAGTCATGCGTATGGAAGAAAGAATTTCATTAATATCGTGATTAAAAGCACTAGATGTAATTCCCCAGATCAAAATTATAGCCAGGATAAAAATATTCTATGTGAAAAGTGATTGAAACTCCAAAGTACGCCTTTTTACATAGATCTTTTTCTTATGTGCATGAAATGCGCAGCCCTCAAGCTTTGTTCACAGCACATGGCACTCTTACTCCAAATACTCATGTATTTCATGCGCATACACCAATATAGTTCACTAGGGTTATTTATTTTAAAATTCTAGGCACTTAACCTAACTAGACTGGTATCAAGTTCATTTTGACAACGCGACAGTTTACTTTCTTATTTTTAAGCGAATATGTTCCAGATAGAATAACAAAGAGCAGCAAGCAATAAGATACATCAATGAGATACAAGAAATATGTCGAATCAAATGAATCTATGGCGTCTTATATGTAATCTTTTATTCATTGAGTAATCTGACAGTTGAACACGCTTTTAAGCAATCAGGTAGCAGCACAGCCTTTCTGTCTGCTAAAAGAAAAGAGGCTCTCTATCTATGACTGTATTATTTTTGTCATTATTTTTGGCAGACAATAAAAATAGTTTGAAAGTGAAAAAAAAATTGGTTCGGATACTCTTATTGTATGAAATTGAGATTTATCGCTAGTTGACACAGAAGATGAATTATAAATTTTGTCTTAGGATCAGCTATATTTCTCTAATTCAGATATAAAAAAGCAACATTACATTTTAAATACTAGCTTCACTCTTGATGCAATGAGTTGTAGTGATTTTCGTCAGATTAGACAATACGGACTTTTTTGAGTAGCCCGAAGTTCGCTAATATGACTTTCGCCAATCGGTCTTTCGCCATTGGCGAAAGTCATATGGACATTCGCCAATACTAGCGAAACTTCCTCACATTCTCAATTATTAGAGCAGATTATATTTATATGTAGTATGGACTCCTCCCTATTCTAATACAGTTTCTATTATGTTCTTGTCGACTTGCCGAACATACATCAACTTTTAATTCATAGTTGAATGGTTCAACGCCTGCCGTTATTATAGTGATTTTTTCGAGTAAATTATCGTGAATATTGGTGAATGTCCCTCGTACATTCGAGTATATTGACGAATGTCCAGCTAACTTTTATCACTATATCTCATGGACATTCGCCAATTGGCGAAAGTGAGGTGGACACTCGCCAGTACACCACATGGACTCTTGTCAATAATTGGTGAAAGTCATATTGACGAAGTTCGGCGATCCCACTTTTTTACACAAGATTCGTATAATTGATTTACTTTGTTTTATCACAGATTCTCTTGTTTTATTCTAAACAAAATTAAAACCAAATCCGGAAAGAAGATTATAGGCTAAATTATAAATTTGGCAAATATTCTTTTCAAAATTATCACAAAGGAGAAGATCATGAGATCATTTTGAAGCTGATTGTTTCGAAACCACATTTTTCTTATCTTGTGTGACATTTTTGACAACTTTAATGAAAATTTGAATTCACTGCATTTGGATAGAAATAAGACAGATTCTACATGTACTAGAATGTCTGAACTTCGCCCGAATATTCAAGATCTCCATCGACTTTCGCATCTCTATCCTTTTTGTTTTCTAACTGTCAGCTTTTTTCTCGAAGACTCAATTATTGGCTCTAAGCTTGCTTTGAATTGTGAAAGTCGAGGGATATTTATTCTTCCACAGAAGTAAAATAGTCCAGTCATCGCTAAGTTCAGACAAATTTTTCATAAGATATGCATCAATACTGGAGACAAGAAAGCTCTTGTTTTATTTCCATTTGTCCGCGAAAGGGCAGTAAAAATCAAAGTAATATCGATCAGAACTAACCTGTTACATTTTCTCATTAATCATATCTATTTTATTAAACGAGCCAGGCAATGAACTAATATAAGCTCATCGATTAGTATACTGTTCCAATCATTTGGTAAAAGTAAATAGATTATTGACCCGTTTTTTCTTAGTATTAATATTCACGGATAAATCATTATTGATGAGTCTAGGAAGAATAGTGTCGATTGCAAAGCTACGACTTACTAAGTATTGGATAAAGTGAAAAGATCGCAAGTTCGTCTTCTGAGCTAGTCCTTTATTTCAATTGCAACTATATATGTTATGTTGAATTTAAAGTTGTAGTCCGATTCATCCTTCTATGAATCAATATGAGCGTTATTGTACAAAATGTTTGAGATCTCTCACCTAATTGAACTGTATAAATAATCATACTAGATGTCACGATTAAGATGACATTATTTTGTTAGAAATCAGTAACTTCTATACCCGAGAACGTTCAGTTTAAGATATCGATGAGGGCGATGATCTACGTATTTTTTCCATCGCCACGAAACATTCACATCTACACCCTTATTTTCCATACCACTACGTGGGTCTCTTAAAGGAGCAGGTTTCAAAATATTAAATGGATGAAGGGATATTTGTTATACATGAGCATTAGTTATGATTTCAGTGTTGTTCAGACATCTAATTTAAGTATTCCTTGGATATTCATTGGATTCCCTGGGTTTCTATTTGATTCCAGCATTCCCATGGTATTCGAAATCCCGAGAACCCGCCAATTCCCCTCCCCTTGAGTTGCATCATAATTGAAAGAGTTCGACTTTTTTTCTTAGATTGCATTCTACATACCAATTGCTTTCTCCTTCTTTAAATGGATGCCCAGCAGAAAAAAATCACCAAATCACGACGATTTTTGCGACATGAGCAGGCGTCTTACTAAATTTTTTAAGCATGATAATTATATACATCATTTTGTTTTATTTATGCAACGTACATAATACATGCAATTTATAATATCAAGAGCATAAACCAGATTCTTGTCATAAATCAACATGTTGCAACTTGTTCTCTTCGGTGATGAGAATTACGAATTTCAGAAGAATTTGTATTATACTTTTTTATGGCAGGAAGTCCTTGTTTCACAGCAACTAGCTTATCAGTATAGTTTGTTTCGTAAATTGCTTCGATTGATGCTTTTATTAGTTCAGAATATCAATTATATTTTCTGGATTTCTGGGATTTCTCATGGGATTCGAAATCCTGAGAATCCGCCTTTTCTCCCTTGCTATACATACTAATGCTAAAAGAAAACTTTCTGGGTTTTGGTATCTATAGTAACTATATTAGGTAGAGCGAAAGACGTAGGGTTTAACGGTCACAAAGATTTATTTGGTTTTAGGGGGCTTTCATGACGAAACGTTACGATCTTTATGTAGATAAAAGTGGTTTTGGTGCACCCCTAACGACGATCTTTATCGTAAAGGAGTCAGAGAGAAAAATCCGTTAAACCGATATAAAAATAGTGTTGAATCACAGCTGGTATTCTGATACAGAAATGAGGACGGTGTTTGAATTGCATCTTAGCCATTGCAAAATATTTTTCTTCTTGTTTATGAGGAATTAACAAAATAGAGCGCAGGTGCACTAATCTTGTAATATATATTTATTGTAGAATATTGAACAAAAAAACGATGAATCGATTTACAGAATTTAAAATCGAGAACAAAAAATTGAAACCGATTGCTGGTTACTGGGCCTATCGACTTGTTTCTCTTGAGGAAGCATTGAAGTCTTTCTCAACTTTAATCAACGAACTTCCACGTTCAATCAAAGAAGCCAAAAAGCATTGCAACTATCCATCTGAACATAATCTCACCCGCGATGAATCAGCTGCTTTATTATTGTATACCATGGAAGCAGGCGAGTATAGCTTCTATCGCGAGCTCAATGAAATATTGAGAAAGGAAGATCGAAATGAGGTAAAACCATGGTTCGGTTATCTCAAATTGTTCGATACGGCTCTCAATAAATTGCCGATGGTAAAAGGAAACGTTTGGAGAGCTGTGCCTGGTAATGTAGCACAGGGCTATAAGAAAAATCAAGTATTGACATGGTGGAGTATTAGCTCTTGCTCAACATCGGCAGATGTAGTCAAAGCTTTTCTAAAGCCCAATGAAGAGTCAACACTCTTCATGATTGAAGCTGTCAATGGAAGAAACATATCTGGCTATACCATGTATCCAGATGAACAAGAAATAATATTGGGAATCGGCACTCAATTGCGTGTGAAAGATATCGGATTTCAACATGGTAATTTATGTTTGGTACATTTGCAAGAAATCGATGACAATGAAGGTATTCAAGAGCAAGAATTAACAGAAGCTGTTGCCTCAGTACATGTTACACCAAAACCACTCAAACTTAGCAGTCAACCAACATCTAGTGAGTCACTAATATATTCTCTTGGTTTCCAGTAGATAAGAAAGGCGGATAGTGTGAAAACATTATGTCATAGTCTATATTATTGAATCTGAATTTTTGTGGTAGCATAATGCTTCTTTATGGTGGGACCCATAATCTTAGAATAACGTTTTCCTAATTCTTTTAAATGATTTGTAGGATTGTCACTATATTCAAACGTTAATTGGCTTCTGAAAAAATATTGTCAAACTCTGAGGCCCATCAAAAAGCGCCAAATTCACGAAAAAAAGTCGATAATTCGAAAAACAAATGCATTATTTATGGTTAGCGAAAGCCATTTACATTTCCTCAAACAAATAGTTAAGGAATTATCTTTTTTTCATGTAGATGCAAGTAGCATCGAATTTCGAGAATATCATAGGACTTCAGTGTAGAAATTATCATGAAATCTTCTCTAGATTCACACTTTTCGCACCCAGAAAGCGCTTAAGGAGTTTGAAAACTTAAAAATTAGAAAATCTAATATTGTCTGAAAGCGTTCTAGAGATTGTTTTTCTTAGATTGAGAGAATAAGATCTAGAGACAGAAGTTCACTTATTTCTGTAGGTCCATTCGTTCATTTGTCTTTTAATACTTTCACTCAATGGCAAATTTTGTTAAAGTCGCTATATTTTGGAGTAGTAGTAGAAACGATCATGTTAACGAGTTGTAATATGATTGATGATAGATTATAGGTGTAACAATAATGACCGCCTCAAAGCTACGAGAGCAATGAACTTCTATCAATAATATTTTATGCGGCACAATAGACCACCTTGTAACTATGTGAAAAATGATCACTTATAAGTAACTTAATGAATTAATCGATACTTATGTAGTGTCCAAAGAATTAATCTAAAGTTATGAAGAGGTAAATTTTTAAAAATTTTGTCATACCTATAAGTTCTGCATAGCTATGAAGATTATGCTCTTAATTTCAACAGTCGAACTGTAGATAACTTTTCCAGAAAACAATATAATGAAGGAAGCTCAGTTGTATTCTATCTGATCTACGAGAAATATAAATAGACTTCGCTGGAGTGCCAGTCATGCTCTACCAATGAGATATAGCAATGTAGAAAAATTCGTGAAATGAGAACTCTTGATCTGAAGCTTTACTTACTTTATAAATATCGTTCTGAAGTTAGTGATGGCTCTACAGTGAGGTTCTCTGGATCCCTATTAGTTCATAAGCGGATCCGAACTCAATAGAAAGGATAACACTCTTATTACAACTTAAATGTGCTCGTGTACATTATAATGAGATTTTATTTTCTGCTTTTAGATCCTCATCAGCCAAGCTACGTAGCAGATAGTGCGTCTGCTGTGCCAAAGAGTACAACGACACCATACAAGCCATTACCAAAACCTGGGCCTACACCAAAATCAGGTACGCTTCTTTGAATAAATTAGTTATTTTCCGTGGAAATGGTCCCATGAGCCCTATAATGTGATCCCCACCTTATTGCGTATTATTTCTGTCCATCTTTCAATTCTCATCTAATTCCATATTGTATTGAGCAATAATTCTGTTGATGATGTTTTAATACACTTTTGACAGTAGCAGAGCCCTAGAGAGCCATTGCTGCACTTACATTCGAGGCAAAAGGACTCACGGGAGCTAGAAGATTTTCACCTCTAAAATATGCATGTATTAGAAATTATTTTCTATCCAAAAATAACATCGGCGGGCACAACACCTACTTAGCATATTTAGTGTCAAAATCGCATTGCCCCACTCTATCTGAATGAACTGAACTATATTTTTTACTGGTACGAGACACTCAAAATCTCATAATTATAGTTCATATTGACTAAGATTGAATGGTCAGGTGAATTTCGTTTCCGATGCGGCACCATTGTTTCAATACAAAGCCTGGCCAAATTTCTTTTTTACCTTACGGACTAGATTGATTGATATTTTCTCTCTGCGAACGTAGTTAAGAACTCACAGACACCTTACCACCTAATCAACATTTAAATGAACTGCGCGTCAAATTCCTAGAATGCTAGTGCAAAACACATCATGATTGAAAAGTATCCTGTTTGTTTCTTCATCGCGTTTTTACAGCCGTGTAAGCAGCTAAATTTATACAGTTAGTTTCCAAGTTCATAGTTAAGATCAATGCTACACTCTTTTCTCAATAAATAACTGAGTGAAAGAGATGTTAATGAAAAGAATAGTTTTCTATGTCCTTGTATCTTCAACGTCATGTATCCGGGTCACACATCTGTCAGTCATAAATGATATATAGGATGAATAGACATATGGCATTCTGTAATTTCCATATTCCTGGGAGGTATTTCATCAAATTCGTGGTTTTTTGTAGCAGTACGTTCATTACTCTCAACATTTCTCTGGTTTAGATGTTTCCTTTAAATCTTACACTCAATAGAACTGTTTGAATGTTTTGTCACTCGTGGCTTCCATATATATTACTTCCTTTCCTTTCATTTTATCATCTCTTCAAATTTCATGATATTTTCGATTTCACAAGCCCCTTCAATCCAATCCAATTTAATCTTAGCAGCCTTCGAGTATGCTTAAAGCCGAAAATATTTCAATTGCTAACATCGCTGTCATTCTTAGAATTTTCTATGTTTATTCAACTATAGAAATACTCATGCGATTCAAATCTCTTTTCTTTCTCTGATTTTTTTGTAAGGATTCTTTAAAATCTTTCAATCAAATGAATTTTTAGGCTTTCCCATTTCCCGAAAGTCCTTTAGTACTATGTATGTACAAAATGTCTCCAGTGTGTCGAAAGTCTTCACGACATTTTAATTGTACTGTTTTTTTGCACTTACAATAAGTAAATCTTGCTAGTTGCAAAGAATTTTAGATAGTTCTATTAAATGTGGCCAGGATTTGTGTCTTGACGGGCGGTCGAACAGTGATAGGTTTCTACAAATATTGCGTACATAGGATGGTCACTACGATGGTATCATCGCTGTTTCAGTAGTGGGGATCTGATAGTTTCACTCTTACTCGGGATCTCTATGAAATTAGTTTGTTTTACTTAA